TGCATCACTAAGATTTCAAAGCTCTGCCCCATCAGCCCTGTGTGAATGTATTGGTCAACCTCGAGGAGGAATCCCAAAGCGGTGCAGTTCAGCACCAGGTCCTGCAAAGTATTGGTGATTGCCAGGAAATTTGCACCCACATACAGCACCACACAGGCGATCACTAGCCTCGGCACACCAATGGCTAAGAGGGCAAACACCTTGTGGCACAGTGGCAGCTTCGTGACCGTGAACTTGCCGTCGTCAGCGGCCGAAGCAATGTTCGGGTCCACATTGTCTGTGGAGGGAATGCTCCAAATCACCTGGAAGAAGTTCCAAATGTAGCGGAACTCGCTGAGAAGGAGCATGACCCATATGAACAGTAGCAAGATGAGGAAGGATACGAATGTTTTGCCAAGAATCGAATCTGATTCTCCCTTGTAGGTGGAAACGGCGCTGTATTTGACTAGGTTCACATCTCCTTCTCGTTCAAAGGAAGAGTCACCGCAGAGTTCGGATGTCTTCTCACGGATCCACCTGAACGTCTCACGAGAAAACGTGAACAACCTAATAGCAACGGCCTCCAACCTGAAAGCAATGGCCTCCAACCTAGCAGCGATGGCCTCCACCCTACTAGCGATGGCCTCCAACCTGAAAGCGATGGCCACCAACCTACAAGCGATGGCACCCTACTAGGAATGGCCTCCAACCTAGTAGCAATGACCTCCACCCCAGTAGCGATGGCCTCCAACCTACTAGCGATGGCCTCCACCCTAGTAGCGATGGCGTCCAACCTAGTAGCGATGGCCTCCTGGCCTCCAACCAACTAGCATGCAATGGCCTCCACTCTGGTGGCGATGGCCTCCGACCAAATAGCAATGGCCTCCAAGCTAGTAGGGAGGGCCTCCACCCTAGTAGGGATGTCCTGCGACCTAGTAGCAATGACCTCCACCCCAGCGATGGCCTCCAACCTACTAGCAATGGCCTCCACCCTAGTAGCGATGGCCTCCACCTAGTAGCAATGCCCCCCACGCTAGTAGCGATGGCCTCCAACCTACTCCAACCTAGCAGCCATGGCCTCCAACTTAGTAGACAATTCTTTTTGAGGCAACAAATTTCCTATTTTCTGTACTAGACTGGTCATTCCTGCATTTTGGCATGTGCGCGCCTGTAGTTCTTGCCAAAGATCTTGTTGCAGAACCCTGTGCTTACCGCCTCACACTCATCTAGCCGGTCATCCGGATCTTCGAACCCTGGCAGCATCTCCGGAAGCTGTTCGGTGGCTTCCAAATTACCACACAAGTTCTTGTCGCTGGCCAAGCAAACCTGAATGTGTCCTTTGTAGTGCTTGAAGAACTCCATATCCAACATAGTTGAAGCACCGGTAGAAGAACTGCGGGAGCCTGGCCGATTCTTCTTGTCGTACTTGGCCATCTTGGTGAAAACCCGCGGCATGTCCTCTGCCATGGCAGATCCAAGATGGATCATTTCCTTCACCTTTTGTTTTACCTCTTCGGAGGACCAAAAGCCATCATGGTTAAGGTCCACATTGCCAGGAAACATGGACAAGGTCAGGATAGGCTGGCTGCAATCAAAGTCGAAGCTGGAGGAGTCAGTCAAACCCTCAAACTCCTCGGGATAGAGGACCCCA